AAGAGTGAGCAGAAATGAGGGAAAGCAGGTTGAAGGCTAGAGCAAGGGTCCCAGGAGACCTCCTGGGAATTTTGAGATAACATTCCACAGACTTCCGCCCACCTTTCCTACTGCCTGTGAGTTCTGTATGATATGCCCTGCAGGTATCTATGGTAGGTTACATAAAATGGAAGAAAGTTAGAACAAAATAAATAACATTGGCCTTACTGGTTACTGTTTCCTACTTGGATGCAGGGAAATAGCATCTCTTGCTCTGCAGACAGTCAGTCATCTCCCCAGAGCTGAATCTGATGATTACTGGGAGCCTGGCCTATTTGTGACAGCCCAAAAGACAGCTTTATTACAATGTGTTGTAATAGTTGCAAAGGATAAAGAATTCCATCTTCTAAGGGGCATTTTGATGGAGGAGGAAGCGAGTGTGGTCCACTCTATGACCTGCAGGGACTCATTGCAAGTGTGCACATTCGTGCCTAGAGAAATGTATTCACAGTTCCCTTGCCTGAATTTCCTTTCAGCTCTTCTCTGTTTATCTAAGTTCTTTCTTCTAAAACACACCTTGAATTCTATCTCCTCCATTCAATCTTTCCTTTATTGGTTCTCGAATTTTAGATGAAGTGAGCAACAAAACCACAGGTGTGTTGAGGGAGAGAGGTGGAGGAAAGGAAGGGAAAGTCATTAAAACTGCTGTTTTCTGGGATCTATGACCAGAGATTCTAATGTGGCACGTCAGCTGTGGCAACCAGATGTCTGGGAGCTACTGATGCAAAACTTGGTCAGCCACACTTCCCAATGCCCATCTTAGGACAGTTTACACTTCCGGATCATTTTCTGCACCTGTCTTTCCAAGGGGACCATGGGGACTGAAACCAAAGTGCTGTCTGTATACATTCCTTTTTCTGCTCTTTACTTTTTTTTCTTCTTTTTTCAGAAACATTTTTATTATTGTACAGAGTGGATTCATCATGACATTCACATATGTACTTATAATGTACCTTAATTAGATTCACTCCCTCCATCATTCTCCATCATTCCCTTCCCCCTTCTTAGAACAATTTCAGCAGATTTCATTGTTCTATTTTCATACAAAGTACATGGAACATATTTGCCCTCCTTCACCTTCTCTTTTCACTCTCCCCACTCCCACTGGTACTCCCCACATGAGACCTGTTTCACCTTCTTGTCCTTCATTTTTAAAAAGTACTTTTTAACCTTTCCTGGCACATAACATCAAGTTACAATGGAGAAAGTAAGCCAATGAACAGAAAAAATTTATAGAAAAATAAAATGCTATATGGACTCTAGACCTAAAAAAAGAGAGAAAGAAAGACAGGAATGTAAAACAGGGGCACTGTTTGTGTGGGGGTGGAAATGTGTGTGGGGGTGGAAATGTGTGTGTGGGTGGATGAAAGGAGAGGGTGAAGTACAGGCAAATGCCATCGCAAGTACTTCGTATGCACATATGAAAATAGAATAATGAAACCCATTAAAAATTGTTTAAAAATGGGAAGGGGGAAAAAGAAAGTATAATAGAGGAGGTGAATTTGATCAAAGTACCTTATATAAATGTATGGAAATATTGCAATGAAACCTCTTTGTACAATTAACATTCACAAATTTAAAAAGAGAGAAAAAAGAAAAAGAAAGGGCTGTTTTTCAATGGATTAGAAAAGCTTCACCTGCAGCAGAGAAGTTTAAGGACAATGGAGTCACCAAGGTGAGGAGCAGCGACTGCTCCCACTGGGCTGCCACATCCTCAAAGGATGCTAGGCTTCCATTCTAAAACCAGGCCATGGATGGCCATGCCTCACTCACATACATTAAAACATGATGCATGGCAGACATATTCTAACCTGGGTGCCTAAAGCCACCTTGGACGCAGCGGAAAACTGAATACTTCAAAATCGATGTGACACCAGAATTTCATCAAGGCCTATGTGGGACTGAAACCGGCAAACAATCCCTTTGGAATGTCTTTAGCCTTGCAAATGGCAACAAGTCTCTATTCTGCCCAAGTTTATAGGATGTGAAGGTTAATTTTATGTATCATCTTGACTGGATCACAGAGTGGCCAAATACAGTATTTAGCTAATGGTTCTCTGTGTGTGGGGGTGGTGGTGGGGAGGTTGGATGAGATTACCATTTGAATCAGTAGACTGAGTAAAGCAGAGTACCTCCCCAATATGGGTGGGCATCATCTAATTGTTGATGGCCTGAAGAGAAGAAAAAACTAGAGGAAGAGAGAATTTGCTTTCTTCCTAACTACTTGAGATGGGACATTGGTCTTCTCCTACCCTCAAAATGAATCTTAGAGCATTGGCCTTCAGCTTATTTAACCACTTGGCCTTCCAGTTGAATTAACCACTGGATTTCCTAGATCTCCAGCTTTCAGATAGCAGGTCATGGAATTCCTCATCATCCACAGACACATGAAGCGATTCCTTATAAGAAATTCTTGGGCTGGCAGAGTGGCTCAAATAGTAGAGTACCTGCCTAGCAAGCAGGAGGCCCTGAGTTCAAACCCCAGTACCACCAATGAAGAAAACAATTTCTCTCTCTTCTTTCCCTCTCTCATTATGCATATATTTATATATGCACACACATAGGCATTTATCAAAGAAAGTTTAGCATGAGATTCACTCACATGTTATAGTGATAATTTATACACTGATAGGATTAAATGTAATATTTAATTTCTTCTTTATGCTTTTTCTGTATAATTGTCTTTTTGATGACATTTATATAATTGGTTATACAATCAGAAAAATGTTTTCATTGAGTAGAAATTAGCCACTACTATTCCTATAGGTCTAGCAACAGAAAATGTGTATAATTAATGAGTCTTAGAAGGAAGAAGAGTTAATATAAGATCAAATGGGGACACCTTTCATGTCAGTGAACTTGATTTTCCATTTCTCCAAATCCTATGGCTGGAATAGTATCTTTTTGTCTCAGGTATTCAACACAGATTAAAAGGACAACTAGAACACTCAGGACATATTTTGAATTAATTACCACTAAAATTTTGTCTAAACATCCAAAGCCAAAGATACATGAATTAAAAAAAACCACCCAACTACAATCTCTTCACATCCACATCTAGTTATGGTACGTCCAATTGGTCTCTACTGAATAACTGAGCAATTGAACGCCAAAGTTCTACAATTTTGTAACCCTAGCTACTCAGGAGGCAGAGATCAGGAGGACAGCAGTTTGAAGCCAGCCCTGACAAATAGTTTGAGAGACCCTATTTCAAAAATACCCAACACAAAAAAGGGGCCAAAAGAGTGGTTCAAGTGGTACAGTGCCTGCCTAGAAAGCATGAGGTCCTGAGTTCAAACCCCAGTACCGTCACCATCAAAAAAAAAAAAAAGAGTTCTACATTTCTTTTGCAGGCCATCATGAGCTGCCTAAGACCTTCTACTTTTTTTCAAAGTCAATATATTAGGAATCCACCCCGCAGATCTTTATATATTTTGGTAAAGTTATGTGTATAATGTTTTCACTGCAGAATTATTTGTGATAGCACAGAATTAAAAACAATATGTATGTTTTACAACAGGAGGTGGGTTATACAAAGTGAAGTATATCCAGAGTTTGTAGATAACGCATATAGGGTTTATACAAAGCCCCTAAGAATCGCAGAGGTAACTCTGTGTTGGATAATCCCAACAACATTTTCGCCGTGCTGGGGATGGAAGCAGGGCTTTGTGCATGCTAGGCAAGTGCACTACCACTGAGGTACATATGTCTGCAGACTCCCAATGACATTTTAAATTGGTATGCTCAGAACACAGAGAGAGAGATTCAAAGCAGTGCAATGGTGCACTCCAGATCCACAGGGAGGAGACGCTATGGCAATATGCTCATCTGTCATTCGACTGTGTCCTTTCCTAAAAAATGAAATCACCAGAGGTCACCCAGAAACTAAATAAGATGGTCAGGAAGGAAAGGAGAAGGGAGTCTCACTCTGCTGAGTTATACAGTTTAACCTAGAAATTTAAGAGGAAAAATATTGACAAAACAGTTTCCCTGTGATTATTGTCTATGTCACCTATAAAGTTTCTTTCTGATTTTTCATATCACCTGTTGCTTATGTCACCATTATGGAACAAATTCACTGAAGGGTGAAATTCAATTTTTTGAAACCAAATGCCATTCACATACCTGTATAGAGATGATTAAAAATGCCTTATCTATGCACAAAATGAAATGAGCATGCAGTACAAATGCATACAGAACACTGGGTAAAAAACTGAAGCTGTATTTCAGCAGAGGTGGGGGGGCAGGTCACGAGGCTACCAGACAAGGCAACTTAGAGGTAATGATGACTTGACCTTTTCATTAGTGACTGGGCCAAGTCTGGAAAGGAGACATGAAGGAAAGCAGAGAGTAGATTAAAGAGAATGATATGATTTCTTTTTCAAACAGGAACTTATTTTGAGTATTACACATGCCTTATTTATAGTTAATATAGTTTGACATATCTGTGTTCAAGCCAGAACCATTTCATTCCTCCCTCCGTGCCAAAAGACAGTCTTCTTTCTGGGTTCTCCTCAAAAATAAGAGTTGATAATATTCCAGAGGATATAATGGATTGCTTGATTCTAAAGTAAAATCACAGAGCACAATCACTTAAAACTTATTGCATTATAGGAACTTGGGAGTTCACCTTTTACTATCTGGTAAGACTACATATAACTGCTGGATTTCACGCTATTATCCACATATTAACCAATTTCACTACCACTGCTGTTTAATAGGCCTTGCTCTGGATCTCTGTGCTGCCTTTGGATTTTTCAGTACAGTGGATGTAAAACTTCCAGGCATCTGTAAAAATCCTACCAGTAAAACAGTGCCATTGTAACACAGACAGCAATGGAACCTTTCAATACAACTTTATACAGTCTTTCCTTTGTGTCACCCCAATACATCAGTGATCTGACACATGACAAGTTTCCCCATAGAGTGAAGAAAATTTTGTTCATCTTCTGAACACTCACCACAGTATAATAATTCTTGGTAAGTGGAGCTGTTTCAAATCCTTTGACGGCCTTGGGGGAGAGAGGTCTCTCTGTGAAAAAGACATTTACGTTATGTTAATATCATAAAACTCCACAATGAATGTTTTATAACATGGTTCAACTAACACCCTATAATGATCCCAAGTGGCAGGGTCAAGGGAAAGGAACATTGACAACTTTACTACACTATAGAAGGTCAAAGTTAGATCTTGTCCAGGCCTCTCAATTTCTGAAGGAGGAAGTTAGGACAGAGCTAGACCATGATCTTCACGTCCAGTTTGGGTTTCTTTACTGTAATTTGCCTCTCCATCCAATGTATTTAAAACAGGTAAGCAAAACTAACACTAACTGAATGTGTATTTGTAACATGCAAAATATTACACAAGTAAAATATGTACTTAATACCAACCACGCCCTTCTTGGGACTTTGTAGTGTACCAACAATAAAATAATCAGAATCTTTAACTCACTGAAAACACCAGGAACTTCTCCGTTTTGTGCATCATTTTAATATTATATTGTTTTATGAAATGCTGCTTTCTTCTTGCAAAGTTTATCTTACTTATTAAAACTATGACTGAGGGATATCCCAGGATGTTCTTTCTTTTAAAAAGAATGCCACAAGACAGCTGGGCATGGTGGTACACACCCATAATCCCAGATACTTGGGAGGTAGAGTCAGGAAGATTGCAGTCCAAGGCCAGAATGAGTAAAGGTCTCAAGACCCTATCTCAAAAAAAACAAAATGAAAGCAAAAAGGGCACTTGCCTAGCATGCATGAGGCCCTGGGTGTAATCCCCAGTAACACATGCACACACACAAAAAAACCAATAAGATAGTCATGATCATTTTTTTGGCTGTCTTCCAAGTCCTTATCCTCCTGCTTCAGCATCCTAGGTGCTGAGATTACAAGCATGTACCATCACATCTGGCTACAAATGTTTAAGAGTGTCAGTACATAGCATCTTTTCTACCTGTGGCTTCTCCTTTGATTCTTTTGCTTTATATTTCAGCTTTATCTTGCTATGTTATATGCTGGTTTAAATTGTTTCTAAAATATGGTAGAGTGTAACTAACCAAATAGTAAATCATCAGACCTTGATTCTTCTTTCTTAATATTTTGAAATTGTAGATGTGTTCCAGTCCCACTCTAAAAATTCTAAATGTAGAAAACATAGCTTAAAAAATGATCTTCCTATCACGTAAAGCTAGCCATAATCTAGAGTAACATTTTGAAGTGTGTCTTCTCATTCTTTTTATATGTGTGTGTGTGAACACACACATACACACTGCATGCACACACACACACACACATCTTTCTTTTCCTATAGTCTTGTAATTCTACCACTACAGCATTATTTCATGACTATTTCCAATTTAATCTTGACTTTAAACTATTTTCATATTAAAATATCCCTTATATTTATTTGGCACTTAATAGCTCTTAAGACATTTTCTTCAATCTTTATAATAATCTTGGCAACAGATATAATCTCATTTTACAGAGAGGCCACTAAGACTCAGGGATGTAAAGTCACTTGCCTAAGGTCATGCAGATAGCAAAGTGGCAGAGCCAACATGGAAACCTTGTCCTGACTGTTAGGAGCCTGTGCTCCTAACCAAAATGGTTGCCAAAGACAAAGCTACTGAAGGGCTTGGTCCATGGTGTGGGCAGAGGCCTGCGTGGAATCCCAGCACTGAAGAGGCAGAGGCAGGAGGATTGTGAGTTCAATACTGAGGGGTGAAGAGGATGGAATACACTGCACATATACGTATGAAGCATAATGAAGCCCACCAAGCACTGTTTGAAAGAGGGGGGAGGAGACAGAGGGGCAATGGGAATATAATAGAGGGTGAACTTGTTCAAGGTACACTGTACACATGTATGGAATTATCACAATGAACCCCCCTCATATTATTAATGTATGATAAATCAAAAATAAAATAATTTTAAAAATAAACGGCAAGGAGAAACAGGCCAGGATTAAAGAGGAAAAGTAATTCACCTTTGTTATAAATGGATTTAGAGTTACAGTATCATGTAGGCAAACATGAAGAAAGCCAAACAAATGATCAGTGTGTGTCTGGGGGAATAAATTATATGCATGATGATGAAAAGAAAAATATTAGCAAAAAATAACATGCTCTAATGTGAAATTTCGTATAAACTTCAATGAAGATTGATAAAAGTTTTTTAAGGCAATGCATTCAAAATCCCCTCTTCTAGCAATTTGGAAACATACAATGCATTATTGTTGCTTATACTCATCTTGCTATGCCATAAAGCACCAGAATTTATTCCTCCTGTCTAACTGTAACGCTGTACTTCATGACCAACCTTTTCCACTCCTCTAGCCACTCTGCTCTGCTGTCCCCAGCCTCTGGCAGCCACCACTCCACTCTCAACCTCTGTGAGATCAAGTTATCAGGATTCCACATATGAGCTACAGCATGTGGTATTTAAATAAGTATGTATATAAGAATTTGAATAACACAAAGATTATAAGAAAGAAGAAATTCAATAGAATATAGATGAGAATGGCAATATATTTGGGGAAATTATAGAGTACCTAATAAACTGGAGAAATTGTGCAAAAAAAAAAAAAAAGGGAGGATCACGAGTCCAAAACCAGCCTGGGCTACATAGCAAGATTCTGTCTCTTAAAAAATAAAAACTTCCTAGGAGATTGAGGTGTCACTATATGGTTGATGGACTTCATGTACCTATGTGGAATGGACCTGGGAAACCTCTTGAAATTACTTTGAGTGGAGTGGAGAGGGGATTGAGGGGGACAGACGACAGGGGTGATGTAAATAATGTACACTATATATGTCTGATTGGAATTGTCACTCTGAATCCCCCCCGTAAAATGAATATATTCTAACAAAAAATTATATTAAAAAAAAAAACTTCCCAGAGATACCAGCAAGATGTGGTCACCTCTCAGAAGCAAGGCCAAAAGGAAGGGTAAACAGTAATAGAGTGCCTGCCAAAATGTGGAAGAGGAATGTGAAGGCCACAGGAATGGTGATTGCAGTTGAAACACAATGTTAACAGTGAGGACTAGAACAGAGAAGAAACTGAAATTGAAGAGAAAGATCCTGGATGACTGAACACCATGCAACAAGAGATGGTGCTTTGACAAAATCAATAACATCATCAAACCTCTAGCAAGATTGAGAGGGGAGAAAAAAAGAAAGGACACAAATTACCAATCTCAGGAATGAATCAGGGATATCATACCAGACCCTGGAAATGTCAAAAGGAAAATAAGGGAACACTATGAACAACTCTATGCACATCCATGCAACAATCAGGTGTGAAACAAGGCAATTCTTCAGAACACAGAAACTCCAACTCACCCAATAGGAAACAGATCATTGCAATAGAACTTCCAGTATTAAGAAAATTGAATTTGTACATTTAAAACTCTGGAAAAAGAAATATCCAGACACATATGGGTTCACTGGAGAATTTTTATCAGATGTATAAGGAAGAATCAATACCAATTCTATACAGCTCTTATAGAAAATAAAAGAGGCAAGATTGCCTTTCTGAGACTCATTTTATGAAGTCATTATTACACTAACACCAAAACCATACAAAGAGTATACAAAAAAAAAAAAACACCGACCAGAATACCTCATAAATATAGATGCAGTAAAACCTTAACAAAATATTAGCGAACAGAATTCAATAGTTTAAAGAACTGTATGTCATAAGATTCATCACAGAGATGCAAGGGTGGCTAAATATTTAAAAATCAATCAATGTAACTCATGCTTTTTATTTTTCTTTTTAGTTTTTTTTTTAATTTTGTAACCCATAAGTCACAAAGTATCAACAAAGGCAGAAAAAGCACTTGACAAAATTCAACACCCATTCAAGAGAAAATGAACTAAAAAAAGAAGAAGAAAGAGTGGGTAGCAAGGCTCAAGTGGTAGAGCACTTGCTTAGCAAGCACAAGGCCCTGAGTTCAAACCCTAGTACTGCCAAATAGAAAGAAAGGGGTGGAGGAAGTGAGGGAAGGAAGGAAAGGAGGGAAGGAAGGGAGGGAAGGCGGAAGGGAGGAAGGAAGAAGGGAAGGAGGGAAGGAAGAGAGGAAGGGAGGAAGGAAGGAGAATCACCAACTCAAAGAACATCTAGCAAAAGACCTTCCGCTAGCATGTTACATAAAGTGAAATCCTGAAGCCAAGTGCTTTCCACCTGAGATGGGGAACAAGGCTGAACTGAGCACGGTGTTGAAGTTCTAGCTCTCCCTGCAGGCTTGGTCTAGGACAGAGAGATCAACACATGGAGGAGAAGGAAGACTGGTTTGAAAGGAGAAACTAAAGTAATGTAACCCTGGCAAAGGACTGGCTTCATGAAAGAGTTCAACAGGGAGAGGCAAAGAGAAAAACACCAGCCCTGTGACCTCAGTGATGGTTTCTCCTTTGCTCCTCACCCCCACTCCTGCCACCACTCTCGCCCTGCTAAATTCTCTCTGAAATCCACACTCAGCAACAGGCAGAGAAGGAACGTGGAGGTTCAGAGGACACAATTTCAGTCCCTGGGGGTGGCTCCAAGAGAACTAGCACGAAAACATAAACCTTTTCGGTAGTGTTCCCAAGGGCGATGAAAAGACTGGCCAATTCAATTCAATTAGTGACAAAGAAGCAGTCAATATAAAAAAGAATTCCCATGGATCGTGTGGCAGAAAATAACCAGCAGCAGTGTTACACAGACACAGGCCTAAGAAACCCTCCTAGTCCTGATGTAAAGACCCTTTTCCAACTCACTCTTGATTCTGTCCCCCATTGCCTGTTGATGGTGATAGGACAAAAAGAAATCTAGTGACAGTTTTTCTGGCCATGAAGTATCGATGCAATACACCCAGGGGATTAAAACAGGAAGTCTAAATAGAAAGCTCAATCCTAGCTCTGGTTTATAATGAACAGGAAGAGTGGCTTCTTAATCTGCCTTAATACAAATTAGATTAACCTCTTGACTGATACCTATATTTACCTTCTAATCAGATGCTTTAGAAGGATTTAATGACCGCTTAACTTG